GGGCCTATGTATATTGTCAGTAGTAAAAAGGCATAGCTTAAAATGCTTAGGATCTTGACATGTTTAGCAATATGTGCTTAGGTTGATATCATGATGTCAAATACCTAAACACATTAAATCACGCCAGGAACCTAAACACATTAGGGTATGCCTAAACACGTTTAGCTTTTTCAAACTTGTCACCAAGTGCGTGACAAAATTGCGTGGAGCTTTGCGTTTAAATCCGGCACGCTGTTTTTATAGTGGAGAGATCCAGTGCAGATATAAAAAAGTTAGATAAATTGTATTGTTTGTGGGCTCGTCAAAAATATCTAATCATAGCGTCTTTGCTATTTTCAATCAACTATATATCTTAACTTTATTTCATAATATCACAATCAGACAATTTAATGACAATGCGAGTCGATTCAAAGACAGGTTCTTTGTAGAATCCCTGGAAGGAGATAAATCTTCATGTAACATTATCCTTTGGTGAAGCTTTAATTGAACACGTGATATCTATTCTTATCTCATCGTAAATTTGCATTTCTATTATGCCAAGAAAAGCCATACCGTACATATTGTTGAGATAATTTTAAAAAATCGCTATTAAATCTTCGCTGAGTAAAAACAATCAAGTTATACTGTATACATGCATATTGCTGTTTTGTTTTATTCCGCCATGACAACTAATACACATAACATTAAATATTAAATTATTTTAAATGTTGCTAACAGGTGTTAAAAACCCCTATGAATCTGTTACATTAATTTAATATAAAGATAGCTATTATATTTGCAGAGTAATCTTACCTTAAATTTATTAATTAGATCATAGCGTGTAAACAGCTCATATGCTGTATATTTAAGGGCATGATTGTCGCTTTCTTCATTCAGTTTAAATACATCAAAATTCCAGTCGTCTATTGTCTACAGATGCAACAAAATGTAATAATACAAAGAAGATTATGGTAATTCATTACGGAAGTGATAAAAACATGAACTTGAGTGAATATCAGGAAGATTAAAGCAGAGCACACGCTTCGCCGTCATACGTACGTCGACGGACACGATTTTGTTCTTGATATTATATGAAGAATGGAGTGCGACGAATCGCTCACCCTATCGGCGACAGTCGCCGACAGTAGTCGGGAAGTTTGAACCTGGTTCAGCTTTACCGAGTGTGTTGCAGACGAATCAAGGTAGGCCTACATTGCTATAGCTGCCCTGACGCAATCGGGAAGGTACCGTAGGCCTTCCCCGATTCGTCTGCAACGCAATCGGCAAAGTTCAACCAGCCTCAACTCTCTCGACAATGTCGGCGACTGTCGCCGATAGGATGAGCGATTTTATGAAAACCAAGCTTCATGGATCCTTTTTGTGACGATATGCGCTCAGACAGCAGCTGACACAATCAGCAGACGGCGTCTTGTTTTCAAGCGCTCAATTTGATAGCGGAGAAACGGATTCGTTGGCGTTCGGTCGTGCGATGAAATGTGTCCCCCGGCTTATATCACCAGCTTTCAGTTTCTTCTTCAAGTTCTTTTTACATGAAAGGCACAGGCTTACGTTGTTGCATGCGTTTTAGTCGTCTTGCGTGTTGATTAAACATTACATTTATAACTGATTATGAATATGAAGATTTTTTGTTATGTGAAGTGGGACTTAATTTTCAATTTACAATTTATAACACTATTTTTTAATTGATAGGCCTATCTGCAACTGAACTTTAGCTGCAATGGTAACATTTATATGTGTTGATGATAAGCCTCATAAAAACAAGAGACCAGGTTCTTCAACATAGCGAGTTCCAATATGACCACCTCTGAAGTCTGCACCCGAGTCTGCACTAATCAAGCCTCCTGAAGAAAATTGGTTCAGGGAAGTCCCAATTAACATGCTTCTCCACTCACCATACTCTCACTTACCAAGCCTCATAATACAGATATTTGTTTATAGAGCATCGTAAGTCCCATATGACCATCGTTCCACTCACCAATGCTCAGAAAAAAATATGATTATAGAGCATCGCCAGTCTCATATTATGACCAGCTCTCAAATCACCAATCTTCTAAGAGAGAATTGGTTAGAGAGCACCACGAGCCCCAAATGACCACTCTACTCACCAAACCTCATAAAGAGACTTGATTATAAAACATCAGGAGTCCTATTACGACCAGCTCTCCAATCACCGATCTTAATATAAGGAGATCTGGTTGAATATCGTGAGTAGGCCTACATAATGACCAGTACTCAACTCTCTAGTCTCCAACCATAGAACATAAAATCCCTAAGAATTATCTTCGATAAATTTTGAAATAGAATGTGTAGTGTCCAGTTTCTCTAGTAGGGTTTGATAAAAAAAAAAAACACAAAAAGAAACAACAGTAGGCCTATAATGTGATGTTATTTAATAAGACAATTGTAGCGTAATCATTTTACCTTCAAACGTAATGTTCATATCTCCGAGTGGGAAATAGTTTCACTACCGCCCAATCATCGACTATCGATTATCGATCACCGATCACCAATCAAAAACAATGAACATTCATTATTCATTAATCCATGATTAATCAACATTAGTTATTAATCGTCAATTGCTAATTGTGATCACTCATTAATCAATAATTATTAATCAATAATCACTATAATCATCGTTCAGTAAGATGTAAAAACACGTCAATCATCTTACGTATACTTGAGGCATATCTTACATCAAATCAATTATTAGGTTAAACGAATCACGTAAATCGTCAGCATTCTTTCAAAAAAGCATTAATTTAGGACTTAACGTAAATGTCCACGAAGACCCGACTGACTTTTAAAATTCGATTTCAATCTTAAGCTCTGCAATCGTCTGTCAAATTATCACGCCTACTGCTTCTTACTCGAATTATTAAATCTGAACTTTAATTCACCGTGTGTTGATTTTCAAAAAAACAATATTCACGATGTCAAACCTTTTATTTCCTAAATGTATTAAACTCTGTTCACAAAATAGAATTTTCTTCATCAAAAAAAAAAGATAAATGATTTTTAGCACCAACCTGTGAAATAAAATGCTAAGTAGCGCGTTTAAATGAAAATTCAGTTTTTGGAATGTTTTATCAACAAGTATTTACTGCACACATTATGTCACCTGTGCTTGGTGGCCACGATTTTCATCTTTCAATCAATGGTTTAATGATGGCACAACCAAAAACAAGTTTACTTGAATTCACAATTTGGAAACCTCTAGCTTAGCTCAGTAGGCTAGTCTGGTGCTAGCTGCTAGCCACTGTATGTGCGCTTAAATCTAAGTCCTGATTCAACTTCCATCGCTCCTCTCCTTGTGTTTCAGTTGGAGGTCTGAAATGCAAAGGTACGATAGCGCACGATCTGTCGGATGATACGTTTAAGTTGTTGGTCCCTTTTGCATTACGGCCCATGTGCATGCACGCTAAAGAACGCAGATACTCTTCGGAAAAGAGCAGGGAATTGTCTCCCGATGTATTTCCCCATCACCACTAGAAGGACCCCACTGGAAACACAACTTCTTCAGACTTCCATGGGTTGTCATTATCATTTGAGCACTCTTAGCATGTTGTAATAAACGCTTTCTAATTTCCTTCTTGCAAGCTTGCTTGTTTAATAGCTAAGGTTCAAACTCAAATATATGAGCTGCACTGATGAGTCCTTAAAAGACGAAACAGCATTGTACGCGGATTGATTCAATTATATAGGCCTATATATATATATATATATATATATATATATATA